TTTTCTGCCCTAAAACCGTTCTGATAGTTGTCAGGTTACCGAATTGAACACAGATGAGAAACTGAAATTCGCAAACACAAGCGAAAGAACGCCAAGAATTAGCTTTACAGGTCCAAAAGAGAAAAAATGATATTAAAATAACTATTTTTTAAAAAAAAAAAGCCATCTATGGGAAGTGAACCTCAATCATCCGACATAAAATTCTTACAATTTGACTACCATACACAATCGTGCCATTGATGCTCATTGAAAACAAAGAAAAGCTAGAAAGATGCAAAAGGGAGCTTCGAAATGCACGAAAACATCTCCAGTTCATTCGATGAATTGACAATGCATCCACTGTGTTAACATATTAATATGGATCCACAAGCAGATAAAAAGGATTGATATGGGAAAATGCGTGTCTGTACAAAACAGTTCCATACAAAACAGTCCAATACAAAACAGTCCGAAAAAACATAGCAAAGTTCAAAAAAAACAGTCCCATACAAAACAGTCCCAAAAATAGTCCAAAAAATAGTCCAAAAAACAGCCCCATTGATCGAAGTGATAATTGTTCTAGAAGCTGATAAGTAAATTTATCTCATATTAAACACATTTTGATTCCAACTAATCCGGATAACAATAGGTAGTATAGTAGAGAAATTAGAACAACCTAGATAACAGCAGCGGCCACTCAATAAAAGCAATAATCTTCGAAACATTAAAGTTAACGCAATTTAAGAAAGTGGACTCTTTTTTTAATCTATGCAAAAAGAGACAGGTTGTTCAATCTGTTTCATTTGCAAACACTTGACAACACTCAATAGAAACGAAATTCACTATCTATCGATGGAAATCATACTTACAAACAAAAATTCTGAGTTACTGATTTTTGAAGGGTATGCTTATATTAAACACAGAACACTGGCAGACAACTCCCTTTCCTGGCGCTGATCGAGCAGCAGTATCCGATGTAACACCGCGACAGACTATTTTCGCAGCCCAACGTGATGTGAACCGAGAAACAGCTGTTCATTTACCTAGTTATTCTGCTAATCAGCAAGCTGTAAATAGAGTTCGACGCGAAAAAAGACCAAAGATGGCAGAGCCAACATCGCTGACTGGCTTTGAACTACCACTGGCTCTACAGAAAACCCACGACGATGGAGAGCAGTTCCTTCTTAACGATTCTGGTCCCCAAGATGAAAATCGGGTTATTGTGTTCGCCACGTTACCTGGATTAGACTTACTATCTTTATCGGATGATTGGTTCTGTGATGGAACGTTTTCGACTGCTCCCAATGTTTTCTATCAGATTTTTACTATACACGCTTCTGTTGAAGGATGCCTTATTCCTATTGTTTACGCTCTGCTACCCGACAAAAAGGAATCAACTTATTGTCGCCTTCTCAGTATTCTTAAAGTTGATTCCCCAAAACGCGTCACAATTGATTTTGAAGTAGCTGTGCGAAACTCAATAATAGCTACCCATCAGAGTGCTCAAATTCAGTTTTGTTTTTTCCATATGAGTCAAAGTGTCTGGCGACATGTTCAGTCGTCAGGCAATACTCACAATTACAACAATGACCTTAATTTTCGCGAACTTATTCGAATGCTTCTCGCAACAGCATTTCTGCCCGTAGAGGACGTCCCCACAGCTTTCGAGCTTCTGCAAGGTATGGCATCTGAAGAAAGTCAACCGATTTTCAATTATTTCGAGGACACATAAATTGGTAGACTGACTTCTCAAGGACGACAGAAGCCCAGATTTGATATGGAGCAATGGAGTTGCCATCAAAGAGTAAAAAACGACCATAAATTATAATCAGATTTTTCTTTTCTATTTAATTTTCACATTTATTCCATATTGCCAAGCAATAAAATTTTTTCCAAGTTAATTAATTTCCTTGATTTTTCAAAATTGAGCTAGAGTCGATTTGAAACCGGCAAAATAATGAATACATACAAGGTGTTGATTTTTCTTTTCCCTCCGCCCAACCCTCTAAGGTTGAACCCTTTGTTGTACCCTAGATATACCCGTTATCATATTTACCCGAATTTCAACTTTTTTCGGAAAATTGGAAAATTTTTTGTACCGCCGGAGATTCGATCCTTTGATCTCTAGAGTTTGAGACCAACGCTTTAACCACTATACCACGAGTCCTTTGCTTTTCATCCGAATTATTGTTCCAAATTTGGCTCTTTGATCTTTAATTGCCCCTGTTTGAGTTTTCAAAGCGTAGATCAATTCTGTCGGCGCCAAAAGATCAAGGTCATGAAATTCAACTGGTTTTGGACTGTTTTGTATGGGACAGTTTTTAGAACCTTTTTTTGATGTTTCGGACTCTTTTGTATGGGACTGTTTTGTATGGGACTGTTTTGTATATGCACCGGGAAAATGGTATACAGTAGTCAGCAGACAGTTGGCTTAGGGTCGCCGGCAAAAATTCAGCAGACAGATGGCTAAATGTCAACGCACATGCTTTGTTACAGGCAATTCAGACTTATGTTGAAACGTACCACTAAAAGTAACACTTTTAGGAGCGACTGAGGATGGAAAACAAAAGTTGAATTGTACTATCAAAATGCCTTCTCATCTCAAACAAAAGTTGAATCGTCCTATCAAAATGCCTTCTCATCTCAAACAAAAGTTTCATCGTACTATCAAAATGCCTTCCAAACGAATATTGAATCGTACTATCAAAATGCTTTCAAACAAAAGTTGAATCGTACTATCAAAATGTCTTCTCATCTCAAACAAAAGTTTCATCGTACTATCAAAAAGCCTTCCAAACGAATATTGAATCGTACTATCAAAATGCTTTCAAACAAAAGTTGAATCGTACTATCAAAATGTCTTCTCATCTCAAACAAAAGTTTCATCGTACTATCAAAATGCCTTCCAAACGAATATTGAATCGTACTATCAAAATGCTTTCAAACAAAAGTTGAATCGTACTATCAAAATGCCTTCTCACCTCAAACAAAAGTTTCATCGTAATATCAAAATGCCTTCCAAACGAATATAGAATCGTACTATCAAAATGCTTTCAAACAAAAGTTGAATCGTACTATCAAAATGTCTTCTCTTGCAAATACAGGACCTCTTTCACTTAGGTGCGAACAAACTTTTGATGATTGACCAAACACAGCAAAAAACCTTAAGGCATCAAAAAAGGCTGATTGGTTTGTCTACCCTTAAGCTCTATGAATTTCTTCATACCATGATTGACTCTTTTTTGATAGAATTGGATTCTTAACTAAACTTATTTCATTCAGACTTCTAAACTCGTTTATGAAAAACAACTTTCCGCTAGTTTGTGCTCGTTATTTGAACTTTTCTTTAAAGCTTCTGATTCGTTAGCTGAAATAAAATATGAGGTTAAAATAAAGTCAAACCGCCAAAATAAAAATAGAGCGCGAATGAAACATATGAACAAAAATCCAACTCCGAACCTTAAAATCACTCACGTTTTTTGGCACCATTTGCGCTTTTGATTTTAAGTTGCCTAAATTAGCAAGTGAATTTGAATTGAATTTAAGTGAATTGAAATGAACTTGAACGAATTTGTAGACCAGATTAGATGTGAAGCCGTCAAAAACAATTTCAAAGGTTTTCCTGAAAAAAATTACACGTCTTAAATAAGTAATAAACCATTTCAAATTATTCACTATATTCGTCAATTAGATAATATAGTTTTTGAAACAGGAGAATGCGTCTCCATTTATTGCCCCAACTTACTGCTCATCCAACTGAGCTTCGGAAGCTTTTATGGAACAGCCTCAAAAGCAATATGCGGAGTTTTCCATCTATTTCAGCAAAAACAGTAGGCAGATTAATGTATGTTTTACTGAGACAACGTTGTCCAAAAAAACTGAAGCAGTAGAACATAGCTAATCGAAAATTGGAAAAGAGTAATGAAACTAAGTAAACATAGAAAAACCTTGTTTGACGTTGAAAAAATCTCAACTTTCGAAATTCAAAGAAAAAAATCAAAGCCCTTTAAGCTCTTTGAATTTTTAAAACGATTTGTGATTGGCGCTTTTTTGATAGCATTCACCCAACTTGAGAAAAATAGATCAATAAATAAAATTTTTATTCCGCTGGAAATCTAAAAATTAAATTCCACTTTCGATACTAGAAACCGTTCACATTGTTTTTTCGCGCCAATTCCACGTTCGTCTAGACAATGCTTAAATCTGCTGCTTTATGTTTATTTTTTCCAATATTTTCTTTTATGTTTTCAGATTTATATATTTTTCCTTGTCTTTGAAGATCACAAATTTGTCTTTCATTTGATAAAACGGGCAGTGCTGTGTAACCAAATTGGGTTCATTAACTGTCCCCTCACTGTTTTTGGTGCTTCATATTTAAATTCTCTTTATCTGCAAATTTACATTAACAATGAGAAATAAATTCTTTCTTTCTTTCTTTCGAGAGTGCTATTTACGCCTTTTTCAGCATATGAACTTCAATTGAACTCAAAAACTGCAGATATACCTAAGTGCAATCATAAATGCATCAAAATGTATGAATGCACATCTGTAGTTATTAGAACATTTTCAGACTTTTTCCTGAAAAAAAAACACCAAGGCCTATATAAGAGTCGTCACTACGTTCATTACTCTTAACAAGTTAAGTGTAAATTATAGCCAATAAAGCCGAGCAAGGTAAAACGATTGAACCAAAAACAGTTGAGCCAAGATTTTAAGTTTCAGCAAACACAAGGCCTGAAATTTTACGAGAAATTAAGAACAAACTCGAAAGCAAATAAGCTCACAGCAAAAAAAAAACACAAATCGTTTCACTAAATCTTCTCCACATTGATCAAGTCGAAATTTGCACGTATGGTCTCGCATAAATGATACAGGCCGTTATGAACTTATATTAAGCGGATAGAGCGCAATAATTACACCCGGAAATAGAAAAAAAGCAATAACCCATACGTGTGTTGCTTTCTTCTTCCGTCATCAGGCGTAACATTCAGCTCGGAAAAAATTTTTAAAACTCGCTGTACCTCGCTGTCGTCGAAACTATCAGTGATTTTCTTGTACGCTGTCAGCCACCTGGCCTTGGCTCTATCTCTGTCCAGATGGGTCGCCTTTCTCTCCCCATGTGTAGTCCCGCCAATCACATCACCACTCTCCTCCAGCTGCAGATGATCAGATGGATCCTTCGTTTCACGCTCAAAATTCTCCACACGATCTGAACGTCAAACGAACTTGACCACTTCAAAATAATACTCATTTTTTGTTCCGACCACTGACAGTAGGGAAGAGGGTTGCGTAGCAGTTAGTAGACAACCACGTATCAATACCCGTCAGTAAGAAGGCAAATACTACAATAACCAATCAGAATCGAGAATCAAATAAAAAATTATTTATTTTCTGCGTTTTTCTTATCTCGATTCTGATTGGCTAGCATAAAATTTTCTATTGACTGACAAGCATGAATACGTGGTTGCCAGCTTACAGACCACGCGCCAGATAGAAGTTTTGTTTTCGAAAGTTTTAGTTATATACCCCTTTTCACGCAAAATCAGTTACCACAAATATTTAACAGAATGGGTCGATTGAAAATTTTCACAAAAACGAAAAACATTAGAATTTTTTTCCAATTATAGTCTAATCTCGAGCGAATCAGTGCGATAGAAAAAGACAGCCAACAGAAGATTGGAAAAGCGCAAAAGAACAAGAAACCGAAAAAAAATTGATTGAAAATTTTTGAACACTTACGAAAAAAATTAGATCAAATGGAAAAACACTTTGACCTTCAAAGCAAAATTAGGATTGACATTTTATGATGAACTAGATCGAATTTAAAAAAACTGAATCAATGGGTAAATATTTTTTCCACTGGGAAACCTAACATTTTAAATCCAATTTTGACTTGAATTCGTTCACATTTTTCGCGCCATTTCCCCTTTAGTAATCTGAGAGCGCAATTTACCTAACTTTTAGTTGATAAATATGAATTGAACTCTAAAAATAAATTTTCACCTAAGTGCATTCATAAATAAATTAAGATGTATTGGAAATCTGTTAATGAACAAAAGTTTATTTTGTAGAATTCACTTTTGTAGTTTATTAGAGCATTTTCATACTTTTTCCTGAAATCAAACAAAAATCGGGGCGCACGCCAGTTATGAGTCTAGATCATTGCTAAGTGACGCAAGCCAATTATGACGCATTAGCAGTACCAGTCAGTTTGAAAAAAAAATTACCAACTAACATGCCTCATTTTATAAAGCGGACGCATTTAAACTAGGATACGAAAAAGTTCATTTAGAACATCCTTTTATTTTGTTGCGGGTCTCTCTGCCTAGCTCTACGCTACAGATTCATGGGACCTTGAAGCTAATTAGCTATTAGTAATATAATAGTCTGTGTTGAAATCCTTAGCAATAGCTGGTTATTGATCTTCTGCACATACTGCAATAAATGAACACTTTCAAAATGAACACCAATATTTTCGACTTAGGTTTGAAAAAAAAGAGAGTTCATACTATCACACAAGCTTTGCTTGCATAATTAAAACTGACGAAGTTAAAAATGGCCTTTTTGGTTGATGTCGCTTGTCAAACAAACAAAACTTCCCCAAGCTGAGCGTCATACATTTTTCTGAACAAACAATTAACTCAGCCGATTCTAATTTTTTTGTTGTTTCGCTCCAGAACAAAACAGTATGTATTCACGAAAACTGCCAATAACTCACAAAAAGAATTCAAAGTTTTAAAATATCACCAATTTTCGGCACTGTTGGACACATATTCAGTTTCCGCACCGTTCAGCACCCCCAAAAAATTATCAAGACCTATTTAAGCGAAAATCACGTCATTTTAAACACTTAATCAGCGAATTACAATGTGTAAAAACAATTGACATTTTTTTTGTTTTATTCAGTTTGAAAGAAAACTGTCAATTAAGGCCTCTGATATTTTTTTTTCAGCATTCTTTCAATTCCTCTCATCACACTGCGCACAAAAAGAAACAGTTTTTCAATATAATAATAACAAGTATTCATTTACAATTAAGTTTTTTGGGTTTTTCTGTTATAAGGCCCAAAACTGCTCGTTTTAAAATTTGAAGAAAAAAAATGATCAAATTGCTCAAATCTGATTGGTTGAAATAATTTCTAGGGGTAAAAAAAATAGACTTTTCATTATAAAAGAGAAGCTCAAATAAAAGTTTGGTAACTATGGACCGTATAACAGAACACGTAACGTTTTTCCACGTTTTTTTTTTCATAATTCCAATTAGTTTACCTTGTTCTAAGTCTGAATCTCTCGATAGCTCCTTTGACTCGTTTCGTGTCCAGCTCTCGCTTTCCGAGAACTCCTCTCGGAATTTTTGCTCTTCGTCGTAATAAGATCTACTTTGATTAGGATACACATCTTGTTGATTCTGCCCTTGTTGATTGTACTCATCATTATTAGCCAACGCAGCTCGATGCTTGAGCAGTAGTTTCTCGTTGAGCGTTTCTGTGCCGAAGTCATCCTCGAGTTGACTTTCTCTGCTTTTCTGTTGTGGCTGTCCTGGTCTGTAAATTGCTGAATTCGCTGGTCGTAAATCGTAATCGAAGTTGTTCTTGTTGCGGTTTGGTTCGTATCTTTCGTTCAAAATTTGACTGCCAGTTACAGAGCTAAAAAAAAAACATACCTTTTATTTTCACTAATTGAAAAACAAAGCAACAGTTATTTGTAGGGTTCAAATGTCTAATGATGATTGAAAATCACGGCTACAACCCTGAATATGGACGATTGAAGAAAAGGAAGAAAACCAATGATCGAATTAATTATTCTTATCAAAAACTTTTCCTTATCAGGTAAAAGATAGCCAACAAACAGTTGGAAAAAGTCAATGGACTCAGGTAAAACAGAACAAAACTGCTCATATATGAGGCCAAAGCACATCCTGAATGTTCCGACTGCACTTTAAGGCCATTAAAAAAATGGGTTAAAAATTGACGAAACAATCAACAAAAAAAGCTTCATTTTCTTTTACAACCCCCCTCCCGGACGCAAGCTTGGTCAAGTTAACAATTTTCAAACCCCTATATCTTAACGAAAAATGGTCAGGGTGATTTTTTCCACTAAAGCTCCAGGCAACAAAACTTTCAAATGTTATAAAAGTTTCTTTCAAAAACGCTTGGTTAAAAAGTCGCAAACTGACTGAATAAAAAACCACTCCAAGCATGAATAATCCGCTTTTTCTTCGAAAGTCGAAACCAATAAATATTGTAACTTGAAAAACTTTCGAAACTCGGAGGAAAAAAATATGACCTTGAAGCTCTCAAAATTCAAAATACTTAATGGTCAACACAGTCCAAAAGAGAAAACTGGATCAATCTGTAATTCCGCTGCAAAACCTATAACCCAAAATCAAATTTCGAACATCTTTTCTCGCAACATTTCCGCTTTGTTAATTGGAGAGCTTATTTTGCCTTCTTTTTAGATAATGACTTTGAATTGAGTTTAAAATAAATCACATGTTAAACTGCAAAAGATCAAATTTGGCCTGCAGAAAAACATATAATCACCACGACCTATATAAGTAGGTGGCGTCCCTCATGCTTGAAGGACCGAATGCTTGGAATTAATTTTAGCTTACTTTCAGCCAATCAGAATTGAGTATTCAAGATCTCAAAGTAAATCACGAAAATCTCAAAGGAAGAAAATAAATCCAGGCCAATAGTGTTAATATTGACCGATTAGATAATAAGCAGATGAGTTTTCAAGACTGAGAAAATCTTATGATTTTGACCTCATTAATCTTGATGATTATCTGAATAGCATTGCGGTTGTAACCCGCAACTTGTAATATTTTTGATTATTTTGCACTGATTTAATACATTTTCTGTTAATTTGACTTCAATTTTGTGAGAAAGGTATTTAGCCAATAGAAACGCTTAGCGATTTTGATTGGTTGAAATTTTTCAAGCAGTCGGTCCTTCAAGCATGAGAATCCTCCCCATATAAGTATCTTTACTGGGTTCATTGACACTTACTAATCTTATACTTCAATTCGGGCCTATTACAACAGGCCAACGGGACTTCAAGCCGAAATTTACACTTTACCACTTTGAATTTTCAGCACTTAAATAAGTATTTTCCAAAACTTGGGCAAGTTTAGTAAATAATAAGCGCTCATAACAATGCACCACTTAAGAGCGGCATCAGATGGTTAGATCAGCCGGATTTTGAAATGCATAAATTATACACATGAAAAACTTTTTATATTGCTTAACATCATTTCGACGCTCAAAAATTATGAAAACATCCAATAACTTGTTCAGAAAGCTCATGAAATTGAGAAATTCTTCAAAATACTTTTCAAATTAATCAAATTTCATCACATTTTCACAATATGTTCGATTTGAAGTCCCTAGTTTTACGGTTCGGCTTGAAGTCCCGTCGGTTTCATGTCCGCCACCCCTTCAATTCAAGGTCTTCACACGTCAGGGTATAAAATCAGTCATTTCTTTCAGATTTGTAGAAACAATCAAATATTGTCGATTAAATTCCTCTTGGACCGGAAACTAATATTTGGAAAATAAAACATAACTTATTACACAAGTATGTCAATCTAGACTATCCAAATAATCAGTTCAATGAGCGCAATTTTTGCCACATAATATTCCGTTCCAAAATATTTACATTGGGGATCAAAGTGTGGGAAACTATGTGACGCTTTCATTAATGAATTTATATTTGTTTGACAAACCAAAATTGTTCGTTTAATTAATTGCTGCGTGAAGTATTTTAAATTAACAGTATTTTACTATTTTACGTACATACACTTTATTTATCTCTAATTTAGTATGAAAAAAGTGTTTCGTTTTAAAGGGTGGAGCAATTATGATGTTGTCGAAGAAGTTAATGTGGCGGAATCTATACATGCGGATAAACAAGTTTGAAAATGGTGATAATCAGTGGTGATAAAGAGAGGGTGGGTGAAATCTGTCTTTAAATATGTAAATTTCCCCTCGTCTCGTAGTCAAAAAAGCATTTCTTCAGACGAGATTAAGAAAACAATGTTGATTGGACCTCATCGTGCCAGTCGGTCGAAAATGCAATATCATTGTTGCAAAGTAAAGTGTCTTTGGCCGCTGTAGCCGGATTGGTACACCAAAAAAACTTTTTTGGTTAAAATTTTCCAAAAAAGGCTGTGGGGCAGAAGTTTTCCACAAAATAGAGTCTTTAGGCTGTTTCAGAAGAGCTCAGAAAAACAATGTGTGAAAAAGTCAAAAATTTAAAAATGTCCCCTCGCTAAAAATTTAGCTCCGCGCCTGGCTAGTTAAACATTGCTGCAAGTCAGACGAACATATAAACACAGAGGCAAAGGACGTAGAGATTGATAGTCTGTCACACTAACCACTCATAAAACTTAATAAGCACCAAACACTAGCTACAAATAGAGCAGAAAACAGGTGCTATGCAATTTCCAATTTTACAGTGAAATTTCCAAACAAATGAATACTTTTAATGAACCATTTTATTTGAGAGTTAGGTTAGAAAAAAGAAGGTTTGTAATAATACATTAAGCTGATCGCAAGAAAAAAAAGCCAACACACAGTTGGAAAAAAGTCAATGAACGCAAGAAAACAGACTTATTTTTTCGAAAAATCTTAAAATTCGAATTTCAAAAAACAAATAGATGGCCTTAAAGCCCTTTGAGTTTCAAGAAAACTTTAGGATTGACATTTCTTAGCTAAAATTAATTGAATTTGAAAAACTGAATCGATAGATATTTTTTTTTGTTCGAGAGCAAATCTGAAAATTAAATTCTACTTTCGAAACTAGAATTTGGTCTCGTTTCTTTGTGACTTTACCCTTTTGCTGTTCAATAGGGGAGTTTGCCTTTCTTTTAAGAAAAAAATGGACATAACTTAAGAAGAAATCAAACGTCAAACATCGAAAATTAAATTTGAGCTTAAATAAATTTAAAAGACTTTTCCTTCAAACAAAAACAAATGATCGCGACCTAAATAAGAGTCTGAACTACATTGATCCACTCTTAAAGACCGAGCCAGACTTGAAACATTTTCTGAATTATCCAGAAAAACAGGGTTTCCAATTATTTTTTTTTCCAAATTTCGCATTGCACGAATCTTTTTAGAATTGCACGGAAACCAATTGTACAGCAAGACATTATTTGGATCTCTTTAACTATCCCCCATTTTGCAAAGGGGGAGATTCATTTCTAGGTAAAAAAATTCTCATGTGCTTAACCGAAGTTTTTTATTGAGTTGGGGAGATTCGTAACAAGGTACCCGATGGGGGAAAATAGTTAAAGAGATCCTCTATCTTAACGGCAAGACTGTCTATTACTGAAAACTGGTGAACATCTTGATACGACCGCCACTGAAGTTATCAATTTTCAATTAAATTGAAGGCTCCCATACAGTAACACGCCCGAGTATATTCACAATTGAATCTGCGATATTTACTTTCAGACATTTTTTATTAGTATATTTTTGGATCAACTTAACAACCTTCTTCCTATGGTATCAACTAAAGAATTTCCTCAAAATTATCTAGTAAATTAGCATAGCTTGTATTGAGAATTCGAATTTTGCTGCACTCTGATTGGTCCAAAAATCTACCATTTTGGTCTACTGAACAATCTGCCCCTTTCATGTGATGGATAGTACCAACCTAGCCTCTCCTGGACTGTCGTTGAGGAAATCATCCCCGCTCATGAGGCCTCTGTCAACGTAGTGTCTACTGCCTTGACCGTGGCCGACAGCGACAGGGGGTGACATTGACCTCTCGGCTGCCGCCACCGCCACTCCCGACTGGGAAAGTGATCCTACTGGGAAGTCTAGTTGGTGCTGGTGATGGCCTGAAATATTAACTTAGTTGGCAACTTGGGTCTTTTCTGTTACACGGTCCATAAAATATTTTTTCACCGATTTTGAAAGAAAAATTGATTATGATGCTCGAATCTGATTTGTTGAAATTAATATCAGCGAAAAGATATATAAGCGTGTTTAATAAAATCAGAAGCTCAATCAACAGTTCGATATTTTGTGCCGTATAACAGAAACGAGACCCGGCAACTTTGCGATGATCCATCGCATGTCCGAGCCCACTCTGCAGATAACTGCACCAAATTATTCGAACTTGTCGTTTAGCAGTGCGCACCGCTGTAGCTTTACAGAACCTCCAATTTTAAAACATCAAATAGGAAGAAAAAACAAGGGTACAAATGTGATAGAGGGTCCCAAATCATACTAATTTCGAGCAAATACAAAATAAACTTACTTTTCTATAAATCTAAGGTATACTCAAAATTATTTCCCACAAAACCCATATTTTCTCCCCCCTAAATCAACGGGGGCGGGGATTGTACGGTTGATCCGTAATTAATTAATCAATATGCGCCGGTCGATCGTTTCAAACTTTTTCTCAAGCGTAATTAACCTGCCGCATTTGCGTTCACTTATTCCATACTTTAATTTTCATCATTAAAGGTACTAAATTGAAACATTTTGAAGCATTCTTTTTACATTAGGGACCTGGTTAGTTTCTTAGGACCCCGACCCCTCTAACTTGTACCAAAGCGGCGTTATAACAGCAGGAGCAGTGTGTTCAGAACGAAAATTTTACTTAAGCTAAACAACAAACTTTCATGCTCTTTTCAGTTTCCCCCACAATTCAACTATTTTCTAAGTTGTCTTATGTGCTATTATGGCTAAATGCGTGATGTTGCGATGTTTTGAAGCAGTTTATAAGTCATTTTAAATACTTTCATATATCAATTTCAGAAAAAATCAAAGGGGGCAACTGGAAAAGAGCCAAATTTCATTACATTACGACAACGTACGTAAAAAAAATTTTCAAAACTGAACCGTAAATGTGTGTGGGGGGAGGAAACAATTCACTTTGATTGGTATTTTTTAAGAGATGGAAAAAGGAAGAAAAATGTCTAAGATCGGATCCATACATAGGATATGAAAAAATTATTTACGTCGCAGCGAAAAAATTAAAACTTCGCTGCGAGCAGGGTTCGAACCTACGCGGGAAGATCCCATTGGATTTCAAGTCCAACGCCTTAACCACTCGGCCATCGCAGCTTCTATACTGAGCTCAGCGTGTACATAAAGACCAATAACAAGTCTGATAATCCACATTTTGGTGATATAGTATAAACTGAAGGTACTGAACGGACTACGGCTCTTTTCTCTTTTCCACTAACCCCCACCCCACACATTTAAAGTTTTCCATTTTCTAATTGTTTCATGTGTTATTGTGGCTCAGCGCGTGATGTTACGAAGTAAAGTATGAAGAACAAATGTGTTCAACAATAGCTATAGTTTGTTCACCTTGCAAAATTTCTTTATGACCACGTATGTGTGGTGGGGGGGGGGGGGGAGTGTAAAAGAGCCACGAATTCGGCAAGCAGTAACATTGTGGAGGCGCTAAATACATGCACACAGTCAAACGGCGGTGTATCGACTATCATAAAGCTCGACTAGCATAATCGTTTTAAAACTAAAAAATCGTACCGATGACAACGCATTTCTGTATACAATATGCATTCCAAACGTTCGGTCAGCAAAAAAATGGAGGTCGGAAAATAGTACCAAAGGGGAGACCCTTTGTGCGGCTATGGGGTCAAATCGCATGGGGGTGGTCATATGGCTCTCCTAAATATTTCCAAAACATACCAATTAACTCATGAGATAATCCTTATGGGCCATAATGCAAATTTCCTAATACGATCATTGAAAACTGACCTTTCGCAAGGCCGCCTGCTCCAGTTGATTTCAAGTTCGCATAATCCCGACTGAGGTCAAAGTCTGCCAACTGACCCCCCGAGGAGGTGTCCACGTGTAACTGCTCACTAAACGGCACTGCAACTCCCCCTGCTGCTTGATGGTGATGAAGATGAAGGTTGCCAATATCTGTTTTGTGAACTACAGGGTCTTGTTGGTCGTCTTCGTAACTTAAAAAAATGGAGAGCATCTAAATTCAACTATCGTCATGTATCAAAAAAAAGTAAGGACCAAAAAGAGTTGAGTAGTTGTGGTTTTTCACTAAGCATGTAAACGTTTATTACATAGAGAAGGCTGACCGACATGACATCGATTTGAGATGCTATAAAAAACCAACTAGAGATACCATTTTCTTTTGAATCCAATCCAATATACCTTTGAAAAAGCTCTTATGGACAAGGCAGCCTAGATGAAAAATTAGCGTGAACAAAATTTTATATAAAATAAGTGAATTTCACATCGTTAAAAAATACTAGCATATCGTGGAAGAATTCCACATATCTCAAATTGAATTCATAGTGACCTTAATTGGAAAACTCTTTTTAAAATCGTAGTACCTTAGCATGTAGTTCTCGTACATGACAGTTGAGTCGTCTAGACTGTAGGGTGCCTCCTGGAGAATGGGTTCCCCGTTTTCATCATACGCGAACTCGCCCGGGTAGTACTCCCCTCCCTCCTCGTACTCGTCATAGTACAGGTTCTCGTACATCTCAGTGTCTTCGTACCCCTCCAGCTGCTCATCTACAAAACATCATCTTCAATCTTATCTGACCTTGAATGCTTCGTTCGCGATAGCTCAAACGGCTGATTCTCAGGTTATTTGTTATTATAATTAGGAAAAAGATTTATCTTGGTTTCGACAGAGCGGGTAAGAATATTCCCGGAATATTAACAAGTATTTATCTGAATCTGAATTGGTTGATCTTAATCGATTGTCCAGACCTCGGCACAAGTTTGATAGTTGGGTCCCCTTCATTTTAGATGTGTCCTTGAAGAAATCTTTTTAGGTCTCGAATTTTTCTAAGCGAACCATGTTTTCTTGTTTACATTTGTTTACTTGGGTAGGACCCATCTTTCATACTTGCTTAGTCTTGGAATCCAACTATCATACTTGGACCCAGACATCTAAAACTATAGATCAATCCTCGCGGTAGCACCGGATTGGGAGATCGTCAAGCAGACATGCTAACTGTTCGAGCCAAATCTCCAATAAAGCTGAGAAAAAGTGACATTTCATTAAGAACAATCAAGCAAGTGGAAAGTCAGTCAATGCACGCCATTTACGGTTAAAGATACTCATATTACAAAATGAATCAACTTGTCTTTGCAACCCTGGCAAACGCATTAACTTAATTAAATTTCAATTTATTTTACTAATTGAATTTATGGTTCACAACGACCATTAATTATGGACTCGTAGGGAGGATGTTTCTTTGTCACCTTCGATTGGGATGAAGTTTCCCTCTTCGTCATAGTAGCCAGGTGTGGCAGTCTCGAAAAACTCCTCCCCTTCCATTTCTTCCGGATGTGGATGTGCTCCATCAACGCCTTGGAACCTGTCCGCTGCTCGACTCTCGTACAGTGCCTCGACATTTTCGTAGTTGCCTTCGTCGTACTCTTCACCGTCCGGAGGGTGCACTGGATTTCCAAACTCATCCAGGGGCACGTCGGGGTAGTGCCCCGTCTGGCCGTAGTCCATATTTGGATCCCCTGGCACAGGATGTGCCCCATACATGTAATCTTCATTGGCACCTTAATTGCGAGAAACAAACATAGCCACAGACAGATGGGAAAGAGTCAATGAACGCAAGTAAACAGAAAAAAATACTGACTTGTTTTTTTGAAAAAATCTTTAAAGCTCTCTGAAACAATTTATGAATGCCACTTTGTGCCTAATTCACCTAACAAAAAATTCACCTAATTAGGGAAAAATGGATCTATAAGTAAAATTTTAATTTCGCTGGGAAATCTGAAAATTAAATTCCACTTTCGAAACTAAGGTCGATCACGTTTTTCGTGACCTTTACACTTTTGCTGTTCGAAAGTGGAGTTTGCCCTCCTTTTAACAATGGAATGAACTGAACATGAAATTAAATCAAAAGTCAAACCGCAAAAAAAAATTAAATTTGAGCCTGAACAAATTTTAAGACTTCCTGAAAAAAAATCATCTCGACCTAAGAAGAGTCTGAACTACGTCTTAATAACTTGAATGGTAAAATTGTTTCTGACCATTTTCCAAATTCGAGGTTTCGAAGGAAAATAAAATATCACCTTAGCCCTTAAGAACTTTATGAATCTTTTCTGCTCGACAACTTTGAGATAAACATAACCGCATAAGCAAAAATTTAATCGATCGTTGAAATTAAAATCCAATTTTGAAAAAAATCATGCGCCATTTGCTATCTTATCAGAGAGCTTAAATTGCCTTCAACTTAGCATATAAATTTCAATGTAACATAAAAGGTACCAAGAGCGCAGATAACTAATAGGACCTATAAATTGAGCAAAAACCACACGTCCTAATTAGGGTAATTCATTTCATTCACCGAGACTTTAAAAACCTAAAAATGACTTGAATTTTTCAATATACGATGTCAAAAATATTGACGCACAAAATCAATGCACTAGAAAGTATACGAAAATGACTATGCGAAAATCTGCCAAAATTGTTCCAAGAGTAATCACGAGACATGTATCTTGAGACGCTTATAAAATAATTGCTACTATTTTTCCAATAATGCCTTGGAAGGACAACTAACCGGCATAAAAATAGTCCTCTGGTCCGTATCCCTCGGGATACCATTCTTCTCCATCATAGTACTCATCTCCCCCTGTTGCATCCCCTATCAACTCATCTTCCCCCATTTGCTCCGCCCCCATGAACCCCACACTCGGGTCCCCCACCTCACATCCGGGAAGCATCGAACCATCATCTGCTACTCTCGTAAAAGTTCCTGAAGTTGTCGGAACCTCCGCAACACCACCGACAGAAACTCGCAGAGCGCTCGGATCATTCGGAAGTTGTCGGCGTCTATTTGCAGCATCGCGATCAGCTTCCAAACCCGATCGATCTGAGAGATACGCTTCGGATTCCGAGATCTGACTGACGTCTGGAAGCTTCCGCCTTCCGGCAGCCGAGCTCTGAGGAGTCGTTCCTTCCGGAAAATTAGGGTGAGGAGGTTGTTCTTGGTTCAGAGCCATCATGTGATCTTCGGGGTAGTATCCATTTTCAAGGAAAAACTCCTCTTCGTCGTAGTCATAGTAGTCAAAATCGGGATCGTACTCGTCGTAATAATAGTATTGCGGATCTTCAAAATTCCCTCCTTCGTGGTAGTACGAGTCACTGATGTACCCATCAGGGTATATAGTACCCTGTCCATAAGGTCTAGATCCCTGCTGATACCTTTCATAATCCGCGTCAACACCACCGGTCCCTCCCCCCATTGACTCATTAGGGTAGTACTCATCACCACCATACTCATAATAACCTGGTCTCACTCCGCGGTCATTGGCATAGTGCGGTTGGTAGTAGGGTGGTTGTTGGTCAGAGGACGGGGGTAAGTGGGCATCTGTGGGGTTGAATTGGGCCCTGTGTCGGGGGTGATATTGGCTCACTGATTCATTCGGGTGGGGGTGATTCACTCCGCCCACTATGTCACTTGTGTAGTCGCTGTCTTCCGACAATTGACTGTGATTGGCTGAAAAGATCAATCGATAAGTGTACTATAATACGTTAGTTCGAGCCATTTAATTATACTAGACTAATAAGCATATGGCGCCAAAGGGGGTTGAGAAATTAGACGGTAAGCAAATTAGACGGAGGCACTTAAAAGGAAATAAGACGATCTTGCAAAACTGAAATTGTGAGAAAATAGACGAAAGTCTAAGAGATTAAAATTCTTTGCAGACAAATTGCGTGAGAAAAATAATATTGTTTACAGACAACAGTTAAATTTCGGCCAAAATCTTAATACCGATGAAGGTTATAGATTAAAAAAAGATTAAAAAAACCAAAATTGGTTGTCATGATCGCTGTGTTATCTCCAAATTATTCGAAAATCAGGCAACCACGGTCACGAACCCGACCTAATGTACAACGACGAAGAAAATTTTCGCCAAAAATTCTGACCGAAATCCAGTTTGATCCGACAAAACCGGTGGAAATGATTTACGACGAGCAAATTAAACTGAACTCGGAAATCGAAAATCCACCGGGGTATCACAAAATTAGCAGCGGGCTACTAAAAAAAAACGAAATCGATTTTTGCCGAAAATTCCGAGAATTTTACAGAATGTGAAGATAGATGGTATGTGGAGTAAAACGAGCGACAATCAAGATTTTAGGTTACATTTTGTCGGATTAGTGATTTTTTGTTCGCTTAAACACCTACAATTTTTGCAAAAAAAGCCAAAAATTGAAGATTTGGTCAATTATGTCGAAAAAACTTGGATCCAAAAACTTGGAGTTTTTATGTGGAACGTTTATGATAGACCACGATATCTCCGAACAACAAATGCCAGCGAATCATGACATGCTTCCTGGAAAAGAAAAATTGGAAGAAGTTATGGAAGAATTGAATAACAAAAAAAATCACAAAAAACGTATACTCAAAATTTTCGACAGGTGACCCTCCACAGAAAAAAAAAGTGTCGTTTGCTCAATGCCCAAATCCAGCGATTGAAAAACAATTATGAGGAGAATATTATCAGTTTGGACATTTATTGGAACAATATAGGCGTTATTTGCCGAAATTTGTTTTAAAAAAAGGAACGTAAACTTTTCATGTCTATTATGCATAATTTATTAAATTCAGAACTATCGTGTAATATTCGGATTTGACGTTTTATGTTCATTTAAATTAATTGTTTTGATAGGTATTGTCATTTTATGTTCTTTTTGTATTTGTATACCTTGACTTTTAATTTTGTTGGCCCTTTCCTTTTCATAGCAGCGACGTCTTAAATGCCAGATCTGTAAGAAAAATTCGTCTATTTTCGTTTTTGTAAGATCCGTCCAATTTGCTTATCGTCTAATTTCCTAGGCCCCGGCACCAAACTATCAGATAACTTAAAGAATTTGTCCTTGTTCAACTACTAAACTGGTGAAATTGACTTTCGCCAGGTTTCATAAGTCTTGTTCATTGAGTTAAAACCATCGTAATTTTTTATTCGGAACACTGGAATTTAGAACGGACTGAGCGATAAAAGTTATACTGAAACAGTTCTGTCGAAATAAGTACTTTTAAATATCTCGTGAGAAGTCACGGCATTAATAGGCTAAATTGTAGCGTTGCAATAATTCGAAAAGCTGGTGAATTTTTTTTTGCAGAATGGATTACGCAGCCTAATGCTTAATATTTTGGCTCTATTGGTAAGCGAGCAAGCGAGCTTTGAAGCGCCGTTCCGGAAAACAAAACAAGCTTGACATGTGTTCAGTGTTCAACAGAAGTTACAACCCGTTGAATACGTGCTCGCTCACTTTTTTGTGTTTGTATGAGACTTGCAGACTGAACTTCTGATCGACTTATGAAGCGCTCATATTGAATTAAAGGAGAAATTCCATTGCTTTAGCATAAATTCTAAATAATAAACAAAAATAATGAACGCAAGAAAACAGAAAAAAACACTGACTTTTTTGAAAATTTTAGATGTTTCTTTCATACATTTTCGGCACCAAATTTTGCAATGAAAATTGTATCTAAATAGGACAATAGCTCTTTCTACAAAAAAAATAAAGCTTCACTTCGCAAACACGAGCAAAAAATGGAAATTGGTAGCTTTCTAATAGCAAGAAATCTGAAAGCTTTCAAATAGCGAAAAAACCCAAATAGCCAACAGACAGTTGCAAAAGAGTCAAGGAACGCAAGTAAATAATCAACTTATTTGATATGGATGCCCTTTTAGCTCTTTAAATTTCTAGAACAATTTATGATTACCACTTTTTTATAACATTAACCCAACTTGAGAAAACTAGATAAACAGGTTTTTTCGCTATATTTTTTATTTCGCAAGAAAATCTAAAAATTATGTTAACATATTATGTATTAATATGTATGAATGCATATCTGCAGTTATAAAAGCAATTTAAGATTTTTTCCTGGAAAAAAAAACAAAAATACCAAAACCTATATAAGAGTCTTCACTACGTTCCTTTCTCTTAATAATGATAAACATATTTTAACACAGAGGTGAAGCTTCGCTTCGCAAACAATTGCAAGAACAAGACAATGAGCAGCTCTATAAAATGCAAAAAAAAGAAATAAGCCTTGAAATAATCTTTAGACTGTTTCAGGAAAGCTCAGAAAATCAAATTAGTTGATGTAAAAAAGGTTAACACAATTTTAAAAAGACACCCACGCTGAAAAAAATTAGATCCGAGCCTGGCTAGTTAAATATTGGTGCAAGTCAGATGAACATTTAAGCATAGGCGAAGCTATACTTCGCAAACAGTAGCGAGAACACTACAAAAAGCAGCTCTATAAAGTGGTATAATATTAATTAGAAATTCGATTTAACAAAAACTCTACTACCTCTAAGATTCGAAACTGCTACATAGAAACTAAGAAGCTCACACACTAACCAGTCAGCCAAGGAAGCTTAATAGGCAGCAAACACGCCACAAACTAAGCAGAGAACAGATGCAATACAATTTTAAAAAGTACAGTGAAATTTCCAAATAAGCTACAACTTTTAGTGAACACATTTATTTGCGAGTTAGGTTAGAAACAACAGTAGGTTCGTAATAATACACTAAGCTGATCGCAAGTGTAATTAAAGTAAGGCTGACGCTGAGTAAAAAAAAATCATATCGGTAACGTTGAAGCAAATTGCCAACCCTCGCACCTAATTTGTTTGCACCCGCGCCTTCTTCTTTATCTTGGGCCTTACTTGGTGTTCGATTGCATCAATTATGTCGTACCGGTTCCACCTTGAGGAAGCGGATGGCACATCGACTCTTCCAATAGTGACCGAAAGGGGATTGAGCCCTCGCCGCGCGTATAAAATACCCTCAGTGGCATAATGTCATTTGATTAATTCATTACTTTCAGATATCTGTTCCTGTATGAATTATTGAGCGATTAGAAGAATCTTTCACGGAGGGAGTCTTGGGTTAGCTGCTTTTACTGATTCTCTGATTTGACTTGACGAAAGGGAGTCCTAATATTTTAATTACTCTTGAAGAAGTGTTATGAGTGAGCCATATATTTGTTTACTGGCACAAAATGATTTTATGAAAACTTATGTTATGTGACATCTGCTAACTAACTGATTCAGCATAAAATAACATGACGCCAATTAAGGGACCTCAAAACATCTCAAGAAATTTCTCTCCTGGCTGCCGATGTTATATACTGCAATTTTAAAATGATTATACAGATCTTTCTAAAATCAAATACAATTCATTTAATATTAACTCTGAGCGTCTGATAAGTGTATCAAAATTAGTCTTCAAAAACTGAAGATCTGAGTAAAATTTATTTAATTTATTTTGAACCACCACATCGATTCATCATCATTAATTATGATGATCCAGCATTAGTAAATTATCAATCATGAATTATGGCGGAAAATGACATTAAAGAAAAAATGGCATTAAAGATATTGAAAACTGACTGTTCTCTCAGTTTATCAAGGCCACGTCCTACTTTAGGCAGCGTTATTTTCCATATACTTTTATAAGTCACTGCTGTTTTATGCCGTTCAGGCTGCGATAGCAATCATAATGGAACCGATTTTAACAGATAGTGTTTCTATGATCCGACTTGTGATGTTTCTATGGCCTGTAGCATTGATTATAGTGCAGGGTCGGCGTCTCTTATTTGCGTCCCTGCAGGGTCGGCGTACTCCTTTACTTACTTATGGTATATGGGAAATTTAGAACATAAAATGATCCATGGAGTATGTTTAATTCCTACGTATGATGAAGTTTTAGTTACTTGGACCAGCGCTTTCACTCTGTTTATTACTTCTTATTGTGTTTCGTGATCGAAAAATGTCTTTCTTTTCATAGCTTGATAGCTTTTTTGTAAGCCTCATTTTCTTTTTTTTTCTTCGTGTTTTCAAGTGTTGGCCTTAGACTAAACTTTATTGGGACCATTCCATTTATAGCCCAAAGGCTGTACTTTTGTGGCTGTTTTTCTCGCGCTGGTATAGGGTGAACGCGGACGTCATCGCTGAATCTAAGTTGGCCGTAAAATCGATCTCTGGCATCAGCTGCTGCCTTGGAGGCAAGGAGATCACGTACACGTCGTGCCTTCAGAAGCCAATGGCAACATTGGCGACAGAATATCTCCAATCCAGGATCCACCCAGATGGGGTCAACGAACATTCCGGGACGTTTTTTGGGCTAGGGGATGGCCGAAGCCAGCGACGCTACCCCTCACCTTACTGATCATCCTATTGATCATGGCTGGCATAGAAACAAACCCGGGACCCACCAAATGCGGTTCCTGTGCGAAGAACTTGGGAAGATCAAGCAGTGTCTGGTGCCACAGATGGGTGCATCTCAAGTGCTCAGGACTTCCTGATACCTCGCAACACAACAGGGACTTTGTGTGTCCCAAATGTAGGGAGTCCTACAATGTCGCTGACACACCGCAAGAGGAGGTACAGCCGGTGCCGAGCCCCGACCCATCAGAACCCATTCCGACGACCATCGAGGAACCGCCACCCACTGTCCACACACAAACAGAGGCAA